CTCAGGATATGAGCAAGCAACTAAGAGCTGTAGAAGGTGGCAACTTATAAAAGCAATATCATGAAAAAAATGTACTAAAAATAATAAATAATGCAAACTACCTAAAAAGGAAAGTAAACCTAAAACTAAAATACATAAATCACAAGCGGATTGCACTGCAGTCATGAATTTTACCTAAATGCACTATAAGCAACATAACAAATTCATTAAAAGCACTACACTACACACACACACACACACACACATACATACATAAATACACACACATACAAATATATTCTCTCTCACCATATCTATCTATCTATCTATCTATCTATCTATCTATCTATCTATCTATCTATCTATCTATCTATCTATCTATCTATCTATCTATCTATCTATCTATCTCTCTCTCTCTCTCTCAGGGAAATATTTACAACCTATCATTCAACATACCATCTTACACACAATTCACAAGAACCCAATATCCCACTTAAAAAAAAAATCCCTAAAACCTTTCCCTCACAAGAAGGTACCTGGTTGAAGACAGGTCGTCCTCTTCCAGATTGAGTTCCTTGGCTTGGTCTTCTGCTTGCTGTTCTTCCTCTGGCAGCTTCAGGTCTCCCAAGAACTCCTGAGAATCTCGCACACCCGCTGCCCTTACTAGTTCCATCTGGGTGACATCATCTGGCTACAGATGCAACAATCAATATCAGAGCAAGAAGACAGGGACAATAACGAAGATAATATCAACAGCCTGTAATAATCCTAAACATGTATCTATATTAGTGACATAATGTGTATGTGCTTGGAGGTGCAATCTTTACTTACTATTTCCTTATCAACAAGCTCTAATGATGTAAAATTAAGATAACCAACATCGCCTGATGTCTCCACTAGTTCTGTATCTTTCCTGAAAATAAAATGTTTTTACTTCACTTTGAGAGAAACTGTTTGTCAAGTACAGAAAATACATATATACAAAAAAGTTATGTAAAATTACTCTAACAGTAACTATAAATAAAACAATTGAATTTTACTACAACTACTACTTACACAACAATCCGTTTTCTAAAAATTGGGCAGTCCAAGGTAAAGGTTTCATATTCACCTCCTTCACCGCATACATTTAAACTGTATTTGTCTTTCTGTTCAAACGGAAGGAAAGATGCAATAAGTGCAACTTGCTAAAAATATATATTTTTCATGTAATCACTTTTACCGTGATCTCTAAAGGCAAAATCTGACGATGCAGAATAAAATGCACATTAACCATCCACCATCCCTATGCTTAGCTGTCTTTACTCTTATTTTTAAAAGTTCTTCCTCAATTCTTAATATTTCAAAACCAAAAAGGACCTCTCTCTTTCATACTAAATTTCTGCTTCTAAGTGTCCCCTTGACACATCTTACATAAGAATACACTTGCTTTTCTCCATCTAACTTCAATACATAATGACCATAACACTCAATAAAGTAAACAACTTACCATTTTTTCTAAATAAGTTATCATTTGACTAATAGATTTTCCCAGGTGTTTTCTTGGTTCAAGGCCAATAGCAGCCACCTTAATTATAATAGCATCTATGCCACAGTCCACCATCTCTCGTATTAATTCCGACTGGTCTCTCCGCCACATGTATGCTAAACAGACGAGGCCTAGTCTACTACAACTGTATGAAAGAGAAAAAAGAAAGATTGTAGTGAAACTTTTATTCATGCAACACCTAATCTTTTTGTTTCATACACATTCTCACACTCCATTTTGAAAACTCTCCTAACACATAATCCACTTATGTATTCTGATCTAGTTGTAAGACAATTTGTGACATCTCATTTTTCATCATGTAATACTATTTAATTTATAGTATCCTATGATACTGACAACCTTATGGACTGAATAAACAATGGATAATCAATATGCAAAAAAATAATAACAGTATATGTCCTTCAAATTAAATCAAGATAACCAGATTTTACTTACACATTTTCCACACGTATTCTCTGGTAATCAGACAATACCGCACCAACGCTCACTGCTTCAATTGAACATTTTTCCTAGAAAAATTAATGAATATATGAACAGGGACAAGAGGAAATGATGAATAGCCATCCTCTATCTAAGAATTCATTACTATTATTACTAGAATATAATCATATCTTAGGTTTTCTTTATAAAAAATTATTATGTCCAGTACTTTTATCATGCTTTCATATATGAGCAAGCAAAAAAGGGATAGGAACCACAGAACAGATAATCAACTCAAGATTCACACAAAAATCTATAGCTATATGATTCAATTCCTTTTCAACTTTCCAACATTTATTACCTTCGATTGCCAACCAATAATATAAATGAAATTATAATACAATAATTTCTCCTTCTTCCACCCAAGCCTGAAATCAACTTCTCCTTCATACCTGCACTTCCTTCAGGAGCAAATAGAGGTCCTCCACTTCGTCCCCTTCCGTTGGGTTGTAGGTCTTGGTAGTGGTGATGGAGGAGCCTTGTATAATGCGGCGGTACAGTGGCACACCCACTGCCTCTGCGTACATGGCCACCCCCATGTGTCCCACACTCTGGTACATGTAGCTGTCCAACTCATCTGGAAATGTATGCATGTAATAGCTTCAGATCTTTCAATAGCCAATTCCACTGCACATGGTTTCACTATCTTTATCTGACAATGGAACTACACTCAAGTCTGGAATCATCACTTTTTGGCAATGTAAGCACACTAAAAACTGGGATGTTAGATCTAAAGCATTTTTTGCTCATTTTCTGGCATGGAATAAGGATTGGCTTTAAACTGTCTTCAAGATTAGTTAAATATTATGCAGTTACGACCATTTTTTTTTTTTTTTTTTTTTTTTTTTAAGCTAGTTTAGGAGTGCCTAGTACTAGGGAGTGTAGCTGCAATGTAACAAGACTGAGACAGCCAGTGGTGGCTCAGAGACATATCATCAAAAACACTTTGAAGCAAGCCTGGACACACCAAATGCTGATGACTGTAAAAATAACAATCAGAATTGGAGATCTAATGGCAGTGCAGGGACCAGTGTTGAGCCTGAATAGTGGAACCAAAACATAGAACAGAAATGATAATATGATAAGAGGAGGTTTTGGAATATGCTGTAAGAAGAAAGGAAGAAAAAATAAGAGAACCTAAAGGGAAAAGAAAGGACTGAAGAAACAAAGCCAAAAGCAAAATTTAAGTAATAAATAAAAAAATTGAGACATGGAAAAGAAAGAAATGTATATAAAATCAGGGGGCAACTTTTTTTTTAATACAAATAACAATCTAGACTTAAACAATATGTTAATTATGCTTTCAAATAAAACCATGAAAAATAGGGAACAGTCCTTCCAATGTCAGAATGCTTATGAGAAGATAATACACAAGTATGATTGACAGGAGGATTAGAAGGGACTAAGAGCAAATCAAAAAGATAACTGATAAGTCTTCAAGGTACTTCAAGGGCCAAAAATGTCTGTAAATTCCCTTCTACTTTGCTGACATATACAAAAAGTGAAAGACTAATGGCAAAAACTATCATAATAATGCATATGCAAATTGGAACACTGCTAAACAAATAAACAGAAACAACTATGACTATGAACACTTGCCTCCATGGCCAGGAGCTAGATTGGCCAGTGCCACAATTTGATGTCCAGCTGCAACACACTGCAGGAGGTTATAGCAGCTGTCCTTCCCACCAGACACCAATCCCACGACACGCATTCTGGATATACACAATGCCTGAAAATAAGCACATCCTCAGCATCTCATGTATATACTTAAATAATTACTTATATTACTGGGAGGGGCTTTATAAATGGTTGTATGATTAAACTTTCTTAAAAATCTGCTTTCATATCTTTTTTTATGGGTTGTAGCTGCCATGGACCACAACTTGTTTTCATCACTTGCTGAGCACACTACCCAGGTTGGCTGGACACATTACCATGGTTGGGTCATGCCACATCCAGCAGCTGCAATCTGATTGGTCATCAGCAGGCACATCCCATGACCCACTGTCGAGTCCTGATTGATCAACACTGGATACTTCGCAGCTCTTTCACTGAACTGATCAGCCAGGCTCCCCTAGTTCCCAATTCCCTAATACACTCCCAGCCTACTTAAGGTTCGGGACCACACCAGGCAGCTAGCATGCAAGGACAATCAGGGACTCGCCCCAGTCCCCTTGTACAACTACACTTTTACAAAACTTCACCTGCAGCACCAAGCCATTGCAGTGGGAACCAGCAACCAAAGCAAATACTCCTAATGATGTATAAGTATTATGTAGCAGAAGGCTATCTACTATAATGGTGACCCTAGATGACACATACGATGAATCACTCTCCCGTTTGGCTTACTCACTGGAGAGGGAGTACTGTGATAGCCAAGGCCTACAACCTGCACATAATGCATGCTCAGCACACTAGCCAGGTTGATATGATCACATTATTGCACTACAGTCATGAGATTGCAATGCATCGAACATATCAGTGTTTATGGTCTAGATGAATGTTTAAACTAACAAAATATTTAAAAAGCATATTTAAACAAATAATATATTTAATAAACACATTTTTTGGCATTTTTTTTATTACACTTTTGGATGCACATGCACTCAAATCATCTTAAAAATCTACGAGATACAAGTTCTACCTTGCTAAAATACAAACTACAGAGTGCCAAGACGCACAGGTTATACTGATCACATTAAGCTACACCACTCAAATTGTTGCATATAATGACACCTTTAATGACTTAAACACTATTAGTAATTCATCTGTGAAGAGCAGCTTCTCTGTATAATTACCCTCTCCTGCTTTAGAAACAGGACTTGTATTCATAATTCTATTACCTGTGTTCTGCGCAAATCCGCCAGAAGGTTCCTGCGAAGTGTGATAGAAGATCGGAACCAAGTGCCTCTAGCCTCTAAAACATTAAGGCCTAAACACCCGGGTCACACAGCATGCGCATGTGGCAATGAGCACTTCTGTTTTCATG